GGAGGAAGGAGGTGAAGGAAATGGGAAGGATCCAGTGGGGACCTGAAAAAGATAGGGTAATGAGGGGCAAGGTTCAGTGGTGATTAAGTTTATAAAACATAATGTACGAAAAACACACAAACAAACAAGCAAACAAAAAAACCCAACATAATATACGGGAAAAATTGTTTGAAACACAATTTGAATGAAGAATAGTGCGAAACACAATGTATATGAACTTTGTAAGCAAACCGATATAAAGTTTAAAAAAACCCAAAAAATATACCCAAGGGAAAAAAAAAAGAAACTAAATGACAATTTGTACTGGGGGGGGGAAGTAAATAGAGAGACTTATGATAATTGGATGCTTTGCTTTTATTTGTATTAATTTACAGGTTATATAGGAAAAAATTACTAAAGAAAACTATGGAGCACTTACAAAATTCTATGTCTCATTCCCTTCAGGAAAGTGCAGAGAGAGTTTGCTTCACTTGATCTTCTCATAACTATCTCACCAGTTTGGGCAGCTTGAGTTAGGATGGGTTTTCAGAGCAGTGAGATTAGATTCAGCTGATTGTATGATCTGAAGACCTTTGGCATCTGTGGGTTTAATTTTGTTTGTTGCAAAGCCTTCTGAATTTGAATTTTGTGTGCTGCTGGAATGGAGCACTTAGCTAGGGAGTGAGCTTAGCCAGCTACCTGACACCTGCTTCACCTGTTTCCCTGTGCTTCTTGTTGCTCCTGTGAAAATATGTCTTCAGTGTCTCCTGGTGTCATTTACATGTTCAGGTACATATATACCACATGTTAATGATGGATTTATTAGCTCCTGTGAAAATATGTCTTCAGTGTCTCCTGGTGTCATTTACATGTTCAGGTACATATATACCACATGTTAATGATGGATTTATTAGCTAGAGAGGTATTTGAAAAATAGGGATTCACAAAGGTTTCTGGATGTATCTGCAGTAACAACTGTATTTTATCTGAGGCATAAGAATATATGGGTGTCTGGGTAGAAAACATAGATTGGGCTGTAAAAATATAAATATTTGGTAAGGGAGAATCTGGAGCAGAGTGATGTTTGTATATCTTGTGCAAACTCTGTTGCTGGTTGCCTAGATCACTGGACTAAGAAAAATTTCGGGGTTGCACTTGAGAGTAGTGTGCAAAGAATGTTTTAGCCGCGTGGGTATAGGATGATGAAGTGATGAAAAGCATCTACATATTCACAGTCAAAGTGAACTTAACACTAAACTTTAAACAATAGATCTAGAGGTCTGTAATCTCTCTTGATTCACAGATGTAAGAACCTTCATGGGACTAAGTACTTAAATGGTAGACAAAGTGATCCTATGATGTAAAGAAGGGGTGTGCTGGAGATGGGGTAAACATGACAGTATGCTCAGACAAGTTCTTGTGTTTGCTTTCCAAACGTAGAGCTTCATTTGTTTCCTGAAAAGTTTATAATCTCGCCCCATTGACTTTTCAGGAAGGAGGTTTTTTCCTGCCTTTTTTATCTCGATGGAGTATCTCATAAAAAAAAAAAAAGTTGACCTCATCAGACTGAGTTTTCCCGCAAAATGGAAAGAAAAAATATTCGTAGTAAATAAACCATATATTTTTTTTTGGTCCTTATACCCCAGCACATTCACAGAAAATGCTCATAAAGGATGCTTGTAACACCCCACCCATGTGTCAGTCTATTTTTATAAGTTGCCTAATTGGCACAATTTTGAGTCTTTATGGATGCAATAAAAAAAATCATAGTAAGGCTGAGCTGTAAATGGAGCCTACTCTTGGAGCTCATAAATGGAATTTATTGAAGCAAGGAAAAAGGCTTTAACATAAATCACCTGTCTCTATAAAACAGGGCTTCTTAACCTTTTTTGGGGGTCATGGACACCACTGAGATTCTGATAAAAGCTTTAGACTCTATCTCCAGAACATACATCGTAACGTAATAATCCAAGATATGGAGAATACCACAGTCTCCCTGAAGCAAAGGTCTTATGTGCCCCAGATTAAATCTTCCTGCTTTACATTTGCGTCACAGATTCTCAAGAGAGGCAATGTATAAGCACTGTACCAAACATAAACTCTACAAGTTCCCTAAGAAGGATTTCATGGTTGAAATAAATTTTGAAAATCATGCATGGCTGAAAATGCATGTTGGAATATTAGAAACCCTTCACAACCAACACTCTTGGCACTGGCAGTCAGGAAATCAAAAGACAAACTGAATTGAGGCAATCTGTTCTCAGGGGCTTCTCCAAAGTGCTAAAGAGCAATGATGTCAGTCTGGAAACTAAGGTGCACCTAATCCAAGTCATAATCTTCACAATTACTTGCTTTGCATCAGAGATCTGGGCCGTAAGTTAGGATGACAGAAGAAGAATTGATGCCTTTGAGTTATGATGCTGAAGAAGTCTTGAACATACCATAAACTTCCAGGAGAGCAAATAGGTCTGCTCTGGAGAGGGTGAAGTCAAGTCGTTCCTTGGAGGCAAGTAGTTTGAAGCTCTATCTTGCATAATTTGGGCATATGACCAGGAGGAAACAGTCCTTGGAAAAGGACATCATGCTTTCCTGAAGGGTAGAGGAACTGCACAGGAGCAGAAGATCCCAGATGAGATGATTTTACACAGTAACTGGGTTATGGGAGTAGGTGTGTCAGAGTCAGTGAAACTGGCTCAGGACAGAGCAGGGCTCAGAGCTGTTGTACGTAGGATCACTAAGATTGATAGGTGACTCAATGGCACATAACAACAACAGAAATCTTGCCCTAAAATTTTTTTAATAGAAGAATGGATTCTTTAATTAATGGAAGAGATTTAATTAATGAAAGAAGCTAATGTCTTCAATACCTTAATTCTTTGAGTGAGTGCAAGCTCTTTGGGGCTAGCAGGTTATCATTCCAGAACACAAACATCACTGTCCATTCTGGGGAAAAAGTGTCTATCACCCTTGTTTGTTCATCTTGCCATTCTTGTTGCTCAGGCAGTAAAATTTTTTAAAAAATCTTTTGTGACAAAGCATTTCTCCTTTTCATGTATCAGCATGTTAGTGAAGGTATTTGGTGTATGTTGGCAGACAATGCTGTTTCCTACTAAGCAATGTATGATCTTTGTGATTTTTGTCAAGGAACTTGATTCTGAAAATCTCAATTTTTTTCTCATCTGTAATATTGAGGCAACAAAATCCTACTATTTATAGTAATGAATATGTTGCATTGGGAAAATTTGCTCTCAAGGAGCTCTCTAAAGTGCAATGAAATCAGTTTAAAGGCTTAGATGGGCCTGATCCAAGACATGGTCTCTTCAATGATTTCTTATGTATTTGAACGTTGGAGAATGAATAAGGATGACAGAAGCATCGATGCCATAGTTGTGAATATCCTTTGGATTGTGAAAAGAACAAGTCTGTCTTGGAAGAAATACAAGCCGGTGTAATGAGTAAGCCATAACGATGCTGTCAATACTTCATGTCAAATACTTTGGGCATGTTTTCAGAAAGGACCAGTCCTTGGAAAAAGCCATTATGCCAGGAAAAGTGGAGGGTCAGAAAATGAAAGGAAGGCCCTTGACAAGATGGATTGACACAGTGACTGTAACCATAGGAACAAGTACATCAGAGATGGTGAGAATGGAGGGCATTCTCCATTCTCCATTCTCCATAGGGCAAGGTTCAGATCTGCTCAGAGAGTCGGTATGAGTCGTAGTCTACCCAATGACAATCAGCAATAAAAACAACAAGAACTTAGGATAGAGAAGGAGCGTCTTGTAGTGCAGTGACTAAGTGCTCAGCTGCTAACCAACAGTTCGGTGGTACACCCCACCCCAAACAGCTCTGGAGGAAAAAGACTCCTAGAAAGATTACAGCCTAGAAAACTTTTGGGAATGTTCTTCTCTGCCAGCAAGGCTCGCTTTGAATCAAAACTCAATTTATATCACCTAACACAAACAGCTTGGTAACAGGAGTGGCATCCACTTCCACAATAGCTTGTCTCTGGAAACCCTATGAACCTGGAGAAAGGACGAAAGTTATACAGGAAGAGTCCAGGACTGTCATTCATAGGGTCGCTATGAGTCGTCTGCGACTCGATGGCACTTAACACCACCACCACCACCACCACCACAAACAGTTACAAAATATAGAAATAATGTCTATAAAATACAAAATCATTGCTTTGCATAGTAAATATTTGATGATTATTTTACTTTTATGAAAAAATAAGCCAAATATTTGCTTTCAATTTGCTTGCTTTTAGGCTTGAACATCAAATTTCCTTTTTATAACCCTCTTTTTGATGAAGTTTTAGCTTGTTGGTTTGAAATAGAGAATTTTTCTCCCCACTAAACCTCTGGCTGAGATCAATAGCATGTAATAATTACTTCTACTTAACCTTTTATAGTTTGAAAAAGACCTCCGTGGGCATGATTTCACATTGTCTCCACATCCACATTGACATGTAGAAGATTGGAATGGCTGCTGTTTCCCTTTTATAGATGAGGGAATGGGACTTCAAAGAAGCTAAGCAGTTTGATACCAAGAGGAAGATATAAAATCTAAACTTTAAACATGATTTGCTGTCTGTCTTTTCATTCTATCTCCCAGGATAATACACTAAAAGGAAAATGTAAGGTGCTGTTTTCTGGATTGAGATGGACAACTCAGCAAACCCTTGAATGGAAGAGATGATATGCATGAAAAACAAGAAATTCTTTGTGTACAATATGTTATCATTATATACATTAGTGTAATTTACATAGTATGTAATGGATAAAATACAGTCTAGAGTATGCTGCATCTTCCACTAAATTGTTATGACTGGCACTAGGATGTATTTGCATTCCTTTTAGCAGGCCCATAGTTTGGGAACAGACAGCAAGTAGGAACAAAGAGAATCCAATTATAATTTCAAATTCTCAGCTAAGCTTTTTCCTTGGGGCAAATCTGGCTTGTTTGTAAAAGAAAACTAAAGCAACAAGAAAGTGGTTATTCTCTGTTCAATTTTTTAGCAACTGTGACCATCATTGTGGGGATTGCTCCAGTCAACGACTTCAGTCCTGTATTTAAACCTGCACACTACTTCTTCTCTGTTCCAGAAACGGCAGGAGGTGAGAAATCCTTTGCTCCTATAATGTAAAGATGTACATAAGAAAGCATCCCCAAATATCAAATGTGTTGTCAACAAGACCAAAGCCCATACCTTTACAAAACGCAACAGGTGAGGGAAATCATGGGGTGAGGGAGAATTTGGGGGCTTGCAACCTTCAGGGAGCAGGTGCGCACTGATAACACCTTTAGTGTCTTCTGATGGCTGCTTTGAAGGTTTGCTTGGAGGTCGACATTGAGAGCTAGGGATCCAGGTCTCTGGGACCTGGAAGGTTCTCTTGGAGGTCGATCTAGGACTCATAATGGACAATTACATAGGAGGTTTCCATTCTGATCTACCACACAACTTTGAACAGATTCCTGACAGCTTTGTAAAAGAAAGACATACCTACTTAAACCTTGGGTATCTTTTAATAGATGACCAAATAATTTCAGAAAAAAAATTGCATATAAATAGGATTATTGTTAGACATGGTCCTATTTTCCTCCCATTGGTTTACATACTGTTTTGTAAGTACTCAAGAAAGATTTTCGAATAATCTTTTGTTAGATTCTCACTAACAATGACTCTTTCCTGTTCTTTTGATTATCTAAGGTAGTTGCTTTCTGCCAAGATCCATCTAACATTAGCTATAATATCCTTAGTACCACAGCCTCTTCTAAACCCAGGCTGCACATCTGGCAGTTCTCTGTTGATGTGTTTTTCCAGTTGTTTTTAGATAATTTTCAGCAGAATCTTGCTTGCATGTGATATTAATGATATTGTTCGATTTTTTTGTTTGTTTGTTTTTGTTTTTGCACTCTGTCGGGTCACCTTTCTTTGGAATGGGAACAAATATTTTTCTCTTCTGTTCAGTTGGCTAAGTGGCTGTCCTCCAGATTTCTTGGCACAACTTAGTGAGCTCATCCAGGGCAGCGTCTGTTTGTTGAAATATGTCAATAAGGATGTCGTCAACTCCTGGAACCTTGTATTTTTTCAATTCCTTCAGAGAAACTTGAACTTCCTCCTTCATCACCATAGGCTCTTGCTCATACATTATTTAATTAAATTCTTCTGTGTCAGCCAATTGCTTCTGGTACAGTGACTCTATACTCCTTCCATCTTCTTTAATCCTTCTTGGACCTTTTAACACTCTACCCAAAGCATCTTTAAGTATTACCTCTCACGGCTTGAATTTTTCAATTCCTTCAGCTTAAGAAATCCTGAGCTAGTTCAGCCCTTTTGATTTTTTGACTCCCGCTATTTGCACATTTCATTATAGTATCTTGCTTTGTCATCCCGAGCTGTCCTTTGAAATTTTCTGTTCAGCTCTTTAATTTCTTGATTTCTTCTTTTACCTTTGGCTTCTCAGGGCTCAAATGCAATATTTAGAGTCTCATCTGACATCCTTCTTGGTCTTTTCTTCCTCTTCTGTCTTTGTAATGATCTTTTGCATTCTTCATGGACAGTACTCTTGATATACTCTCACAGCTCATCTGGTCTACGCTCATCGGTGTTCAAGGCCTCAAACCTGTTCCTGAGATGGTTTTGAAACTTGAGTGGGATAGGCTTAAGGTCAAATTTTGGTTCCTGTGGATTTGATTTTATTTTCTTCAACTTCAGCTTGAACTTGGATATGAGTAGTTGGTGGTCTGTTCCACAGTCAGCACCTGGCCTGGTTTTCACTGCTGCTATTGAGTCTCTCCACTGATTCTTTCCGCAAATGTAATTGATTTGGTTCCTATGCATACTATCAGGTGAAATCCATGGGTATAGCATGTCTTTGTGTTTCTTATAAAAGGTATTTGCAATGAATAAATCATTAACTGTGTAGAATTCTATCATTCTATCACTAGCCTCATTTCTGTCACAAAGTCCATGTTTTCCAGCTACTGATCTTTCTTCCCTGTTCCCAACTTTGGCACTCCAGTTGCCCATTGTCATCAATGCATGTTGATTGCTTTCAGATGCATAGCAAGAAATCAGAAAGACCATGGCCTGAATCAGATGCACTTTAAAAACTGACATCATTACTCCTTAATAATTTGGAGTGGTCCCTAACTGCAGATTTTCCCAGTGCAGTGTGTTTCCTTATTTCCTGACCACTAGTACCAAGGATATTAACTGTGGATCCAAGCAAGATGAAGCTGTTGGCAGTTTCAGTCTTCTCTCCATCCATCATGTTGTCTATTGGTCCAGTGGTAAGAATTTTTCTTTTCTTGACATTGACATGCAATCCATACCAAAGGCTGCATTCCTTGATCTTCTGCAACAAGTGTTTCAAGTCCTCCTCATTTTTTTAGCAAGCAAGGTTGTGTCATTTGCATGTTGTTGTTCGGTGCTGTTGAGCCATAGACGACTCATAGCGACCCTATAAACGAAAGGCCTGAGCACTGTTCGTACATAGAGTTTCCGGAGGCAAGCCATTTCAGAAGTGGATGCCGCTCCTGCTTCCAGGCTTGTTTTAGTTGGGAAGCTCCAGCCAACACTGTCCACCATGGGTAACCATTACCTCATTTGGCACATCAGTGTCCCAGTGTTCAGCATCACAACAACCACGAGTTACCTCTGTACAGCAATGCACAGACCAGTGCTATACCACCTAGAAGAATGTTTGACAGGAATACAATTTGAACTTGGCCTGAGGGCCACAGTCATCTGCATAGCACAGGTTATTGATGAGTCTTCCTCTAATTCTGATGCCACATTCCTCTTCACAGAGTCCAGTAAAGGAAAAGATTTAGGGTTTTCCATGGCAACATTATTAATTCAGACAGTCTGGAAAAAAAAAAACAACACCAAAAAAACCCAAACAACCCATCAAAACAAAACAACACTCCAACATCAACGAAATTGACTGACACAGTGACTCTAAATAGGCTTGAGCGTGGCAGGTGATGGCCCAGGATGAGGCAAGCTTTCTACCTGTTGTTCATAAAGTTGCTGTGAGTCATAGTAGACTCGACAGGATCTGACAGCAACACCTTTATTTTACTTAGAGAAAATGGAGACCAAATAGAGAAACAGTTTTATTCAAAGACACATGGCTAGTGAGTTAGCAGCAGAAATGAGACCTAGCTGCAAACCTCCAAATTCCTCCAAAACCTGTTCAGGATTCCAGATTACCATTATTGAGTAGATTCTGACGGCCCATCTGAAGTCACTGGAGTTGGAAAACAAATACTGAGAATTGAGACAAAGAAACCAATGGGTCATTGTTCTGTGTACTATTTTACACCTAGGTGGATAATATAATAACTGAATTGTGTAGGTCTTTTCTTTGGAAGTTAACACCATCATGTGGCAAAAAGAAGAAGGATGTTGGAATAAAAAAATCTCTCTCTGCCACTTCTAGTCTGATGACTTTGGGCAAGCCAAGTTATATGTATGTGTCTCTAAATTATACATGTGAAATGGAGATTAAAATAACTGTGTCATTGGTTAGATGTGAGAACTAAATGATAAATGTACCTGTATTAAGCATAGAGAAATCTCTGTTGGCCTAGTGGACAGAAAGTGATGCCACCAAGCCAAAGGTGGGTGATTTGCAGTTCTCAGGCCTGGTTTTAGTTATTTTGGATCAAACATTCTTCTAAGCAGTTTAACACTGATCTGTGAATTGCTGTACAGAAGTAACTCATGGTTGCTGTGATGCTAAACACTGATATGCCAAATGTGAGAATGGTTACCCGTGGTGGACAGTGTTTGGTGGAGCTCCCTGATTAAAACAAGCTTAGAAGCAGGAGTGGCCTCCACTTCTGAAATAGCTTGCCTCCAGAAACTCCATGAACTTGGAAAAACAATGAAAATTATACAAGTGTTCAGGTCTTTCATTCATTCGTAGGGTCACTGTGAATCATCTATGACTCAACAGCACTTAACAACAACCACCACCACCTGTATTGACCACAAGGCACATATTAACAGTCATCATAGCCCTTAATGAGTGCCTACAGTGTGGGAAATTCTGTCTGTCCTTTTCCACTATCCCTAGATCTTCTCCACCAAAGTACATGAGCTGTAAGAAATTAGGAGATGATTGAGTTTTTTAATTTGTTCCATTTTTTGCTTTGTTTTGGTTTCTATTTGAGGAAATGTTCATCAAAACAAAGACAATTTTTCTCACAACTGACAGACCATTTACTTTCAGGAAGGAAAATGAAGATTAAACCCACTTAGAAAACAAACTCCCTTCAGACTATGAAACATTTAGCCCATAACCTGGAGGACATTTCCATTTCAAACACACAGATTGGAAGTCTCTTCCCATCCTGGGTTAATTAGCACAGAGGATCTGTGTCTTGATGACTGAGGTCGCTCTGGCGGAGTAATGGCAAAGAAGCTGCGCTGCAACCCCGAAGGCACGTGGTTCTAGGCCACCAGCTGCTCTGCCGCAGAGGGATGGGCAATCTCCTCTCCTGGGATTAATTGCATCTGAAATCCCGCCGGAGTGTCAGCTATGAGTCGGTTATGACTCTATGGTACACAACAACAATAACGGATTAAGGGTGAAAGTGCCATTCTGCAATATTTACTAATATCTAGAATATTTTATGGAAATTCTATGTGTATTATTTATAGTATTCTATAAAAATTATTTAAAATAATTTCCCCCCGATGATATGTGATGAGAAAATCTCTTCTTGACCATAAAAAAACCTCCGAAGAAAGTAAGGCATGGGCAAAAAAGAAATAGATAAAAATCTTTTATAAGAAATTATTTAAAAGAAGAAAGTGCATGAAAGTATCGTACTGTATGGCAAGTCCTAAGGAAAAACATTCTTCATGTCCGGTAGTTTTTGATGAGGATATTTGGTAAGCTTGCAGTGTTTTATAATTAATCTACTTTAAACTTCAGCTAAAGATTCTCAAGTGAGCTTTTAGTTTTATTGAAAGGTTAATTTTACACCTACAGGAACATGTATGCTTCCTGTTTTATTTAACCAGGTTAAATGGGAAAATGACACCGTCTCTGTCCACGCGGTAAGAGAGATATGGCAATTTTACCCTTAATCTGTTTGATGTGGTTTTGTAGCCGTTGGGACATCTTTTTCTTTAATACTAAAGCTTTCACTTCGGCGATTGGCTGGACTCTGGAGGCGCAGTCATGGGACATTATGTTCTTGCTCATTAGTGTGGTTTCTCTGCCCTTGGTGTTATTAGTCGTGTTCATTGCCTGCTTAATAGCACGCTATTGGAGACTGACAAGCCTTGGTCAAAGGAGGATGTGGGCTGAAAAAGAGATGCTTACGAGGTTGCAGGTGGTTGGATCCAGCACGTGAAATGGTTTCTTCATCATACCTTTTCATTCGTGATTATTAGCAACCTTATGGCCATGCACGTGCATATGTGGGTGTGTTTGGCCGTTGTGTAATGATGTTTTACTAAACGGAGGAGGCAAAGTCATCTTCTGTGGGCTTACAACCCAGATAGAAAAGGATTAAGGAGTAAATTCATTGTTGCCGTCATCTATGACCATAATTATGCTGCGTAATGAAACCACAACATAAACTAGGGTAATACAGAAATATACATGTATTTGGCTCATAAATCTGAGAACCGACTGTGCTATCCCTCTGCTCTTGGCAGTTTGCTCAAAACTATGGGAGTTGGGCTAATTTTTTTCTTCTCTTTTGTTTTTATTTTTCTACTAGTTTATTTACAAAATTCAGATACAAATTTGAACAAATTCCTTCGATTTTCCTCACCCTTCCGCCCATCAGATTGTACAACCCAATGATTAATTCCTCCGTCCCCCTGCACATCCACATCTCTCTGCTTCCAACCTTTCCCACCCCTCCTGGATCCTTGTTCTCATTCTATAATCATAGTTTTATACAATATTTATCATTGTGGGTCTGAGTTAATTCCCTCAGCATAATGCTCTCCAGTTTCTCCCAAGTTAGGTAATCATTTATAAAGTTATTGCTCCTGCTTGCTGCACACTATTCCATTGTGTTAATGTACCATGATTTCTCAATCCATTCATTTGTGGGTGGACATTTGGGATGTTACCTTGTTCTTGCGATGGTGATTAATGCTGCTATGAACATTGGTGTACAAATCTCAGTTGGTGCCTCGGTTCTCATATTCTCAGGGTATATTCCAAGTAGTGGAATAGCTGGGTCATATGAAATTTCTATGTTCAGATTTTTGAGGAAGCAGCAAACTGCCTTCCAGAATGGTTACACCATTTTATAATCCCACCAACAATGGGCTAATTTTTAGCTGATCAGCCTTGAATTCCCTGGAGTGATCAGAATGACTTAGGTTCTGTATCATTATCCAATAGGCCACCATGAGTATGTTTTCAGAATGAAGGAAGAATATGAATAAGGCAATTACAGTGACACATTGTACAAAATGTAACTAATGTCACTGCATAGGTTGTATGCTGTTATTGTTGTTATGTACTGTCATCTAAAACTTATAGGGATCCTATGGACCCTACTCTATCCTAAGCCAATCTCAGTCTCTAACACACCTACTTCCATTACCACATTCACTAAGTCAATCCATCTCACCCAAGATCTAGCTCTCCTGCACTGTTCCTCACCCTTCCAAGCATGATGTCCTTCTCTAAGGATTGATCCCTGCTGGTAACATGCCCAAAGTATGTGAAATAGAACCTCAAAATCTTTGCCTCCAAAGAGCAGCCTGGTTTCACCCTCTCCAGAACAGATATGTTTGTTCTCTTGGCAGTCTACAGTACACTCAATACTGTTCCCCAGCACTACAGCTCAAAGGCATCAAGCACAATTTGTATAGAAGTTGTCAATGGGAATGGAATCTGCTGTGTAAACATTCATTGGAAATAATATATGCTATTTATACTAAATTTGAGGCACACACATACAAAACCAAAAATATTCACATAACTTGGGAGATCTGAAAACACAGGACAATGGTGGGCATAGTTGAATGTTGACTGTTGTTGTTGATGATTGCCTACGAGTTGAGCATGACTCATAGTGACCCTATGAACAAAAGGCCTGAAGCCCCTCTACTATCGACATTTATCAAAGTTCATAGAGTTTCTGGAGGCATGTTGTTTAGGAAGTGGATGCCACTCCTGTTTCCAAAGCTGTCATAGAATGTTATTGGTTGAGTCACCTGCAATGCATCAGCTACCTTAATCTTATCTTTTGGGAAAGATATCTTCAGTCTCAAATACCCCCACAGTATCAGATCTAGAAAAGACCTGCCCAGACCTTCCTTGGAATTATCACATTGTGTCAGCAATGTAAACAGAGACAGTAAGTCATAGAATTTAGAAGAAGCTCTGTGGCCAGGATCTTCCCTCAGTACAGCCTTAACAAAAATATTTCTCTGAAGGTGTACATGGAATTTGGACTTACATCCTCCTAAACAAGAAATGGACAATGGAATGGGGATGTAGCAGGGATAGGGCGGGCAGTGAATGTATTGGTTATTTCTGTAAGGGAAGTGTCTTTCATCTGGTAGGTAAAATTATTGCCTGTCAGATATTCTTCTAGTATTGATTAATTTTATAAAATATGAATGAGAATGATTATAATGAAACACAGTGTGAATGAAGAATAGTGTGGAACACAATGCATATGAGCTATGTAAGCAAACCAAGATAAAACAAACATTTATTTTTATTTAAAAACTAAACCAAACCAACTAAAACCCAACTTTGCTTTTCAAATGGTGATGCACTTTCTCAAAAAGTCAATCTGAATCCTTTTGAACAATGCTGCCTGTTTGAAGAATCCAACTCTACGTGATGGAAAATGGATACTTATCACTTCAAATTACATGGCATAAGTCAAATATCAATCAAGAAAAGTTATAGAAATAGAAAAACTAGCTTCCATGTATTATATGCTTTTTAAAAAAACTCAGCATCAGGCAAGATTAGACTTGGTAGAATAGACTATCTGATTGAAAATCTCAGTTTACATTCTGGTTTTATTTTAGGTGTTCTGGTCTTCAAACTACCTTATCTTTTTTTCCCCCTTTGGGAGAAATTGTTGACCTTTTGGTATCATATAGATTTTTTTCTATGGTACATTATTTTAACTATACTCTTTTTTTTAATTTGTGTGTCAATCTATTCTGTTAATACAAGGTAGCGTCAAAGGGTATCTATCTTTGGTTCAAGGTTTGAAGATATCTCAGAGGTGGTCTCAGGAAGTACTCTAGTCTTGACTGGTCTAGTACGTCTGTACTTTATAACAATCTGAGTTCTGTTCCTCATTTTTCTCACCCTAATCTCCAAATATTGAGGCCCTGATTAGAACAGTCAGTAGCGGTAGCTGGGCTTCATCTAGTTCTTTTGGTGACATGTTAAATTTTTTAAGTGTAGTACATCTAACACAAATAAACCTTACCAAATGTTATTGACAGCTTTCTACAAAGTTGGCAGAGTGACAGCCATTGATGAAGACCATCCACCAAACTGTGTGACTTACAGAATAACCAATGGAGACATCCAGGTCATACAAAGGTTTTGGATTCACCCACTCTCTGGGATGATTGAACTCACCACGCAGCCTGACTATGAGTCTGTGAAGCAATATAATCTCACTGTGGAAGCTGTGGACTGTGACAGATTTCAGCCTCACACAGCTATTACTGTGGTAAGTAGAATCCTAGAGAATGATTCACACACACACACACACACACACACACACACACACACACACACACGTATATAGCTATAGATAGATAGACAGATATAATTGATGTTTCAATTCACCACTGGTTCCATGGTAGAAAAGTGGTAGAAAAGTGATGATTATTTGTTTCCTAAAGGCTATAGTTTAGGAAACTCTATGGGACAATTTTACTACTTTACCCTATTTGGCTGCTGTGGAGAGGAATATACCTGATGATAGCAATAAATAGATAAATAAATAAATAAATGTGTGTGTATACACAAAATATATATGTGTGTGTGTATACACACTATATATATGTGTGTGTGTATACACACAATATATATATATAGTGTTCATAATAGAAACAAATATATAATACATGTTATTATTGTTGTTGTGTGTTATCCATTCAAAACTGACGCATAGCTGAGCTTCCAGTGGGTTTTCAGAGGCAGTTCATCACACAGAAGGAGATTGCCCATCCTTCTCTCATGGAGCAGCTGATGGTCTTGAACAGTTTCCATGGAGTAGCTTGATGACCTTTGGGATTGAAGTACAACTTCTTGCCACAAGGCCATCTGTTTAGAATATAAACAAATTGTTGTTGTTAGGTGCTGTCGAGTCGCTTGCGACCCATAGCGACCCTATGTACAACAGCCTAAAATTCTGCTCTGTCCTGTGCCAATCGCACTGCCTCTGACACACCCATCCCGATTACCCCAGTCACTGAAGCAATCCACCTCATAGAGGGTCTTCCCCTCCTGCGCTGTCCCTCCACTCTACCAAGCATGATGTCCCTCTCCAAGGACAGGTCCCTCCCTACAACATGTCCAAAGTATTTTAGATGAAGCCTCAGGATCCTTGCCTCCAAGGAGCTGCCTGGTTTAACCCTTTCCAGGATGAATCTGTTTGTTTTCCTGGCAGTCCATGGTACCCTCAATACTCTTCTCCAGCACCACAGCTCGAAGACATCAATTCTCTTTTTATCCTTCCTAGTCATTGTACAAGTCTCTGATGCATAACAAGTGATAGCAAAGACCATGGCCTGTATCAGACACACCTCAGTCTCCAGAGAGACACCATTGCTCTTAAGTACTTTGGAGAGGTCTCTAACAGCAGACTTTCCCATCACAAAACATCTTTTAATTTCATGGCTACTGGTGCCAAGAGTGTTGACTGTGAGGCCAAGCAAACTAAAGCTGTGAACAATCTCAATTTCTTCACCATCCATCCTGATGCTGTCAGTTGGCCCAGTGGTGAGAATATTTGTCTTCTTGACATTGAGCCTCAATCCATATTGGAGGCTGCAGTCCTTGACCCTCTGCAGCAAGTGCTTCAGGTCCTCCTTAGTTTCAGAAAGCAGGGTTGTGTCATCTGCATAACGCAGATTGTTGAGAGATCTTCCAGCAATCTTGACCCCACATTTCTCCTAATAGAGCCCAGCCTCCCGGATAATCTGTTCTGCATACAGGTTGAAAAGGTATGGAGACAGGACACATCCCTGGCATACGCCCTTCCCAATTTTGAACCATGCAGTGTTTCCTTATTCTGTTCTGACAACTGCCTCTTGGTCCAAGTATGGGTTTCTCATTAGCACAATCAAGTGTTCTGGGATTCCCATTCTTCTCAGAGTCAGCCACAGTTTGTTATAATCCACACAGTCAAACGCCTTTGCATAGTCAATGAAACACAGATATACATTCCTCTGGTATTTCCTACTTTCAGCTTAGATCCATCTAATATTAGTTACAGTATCCTAGTACCACAACCCCTTCTAAACCCAGCCTGGGCTTCTGGCAGTTCTCTCCTGATGTGCTGTTCCAGTTGTTTTTGGATAATCTTCAGTAGAATCTTGCTTGCATGTGAAATCAATGATATTGTTCTATAGGTCACCCTTCTTTGGGATGGGAACAAATATAGATCTTTTCCAATCAGTTGGCCAAGTGGTTATTCTCCAGATTTCTTGGCACAACTTGGTGAGCATGTCCAGGGGAGCATCTGTTAGCTGAAATATGTCAAGTAGTATACCATCTATTCCTGTGGCCTTATTTTTTGTTATTTCCTTCAAAACAGCCTGAACTTCTTCCTTCATCACCATAGGCTCTTGCTCATATGTTGTTTCATGAAATTCTTCTGTGTCTGTCAATTCCTTTCGATATAGTGACTCGGTGTATTCTTTCTATCTTCTTTTAATACTTCCTGCATCATTTCATATTCTGCCTAAAGTATCCTTGATTATAGCAACTTGAGGTTTGAATTTGTTCCTTGAGTTTAAGAAATGCTGAATATACATATATATTTCTCATTTTAACCTTTGATATAGGCAATATTGTTATCATTTATACTTTATAGGTAAGAAAATTGAGGTACAGAGTTTAAATAGAAAATATTTTAGATTTTACTGGAATTCAAATCCAGACTGCCTCTCATCAAACGGTGATAATTTTCACTTTGTTCACAACAGAGTTAACTAAGGTACATTCTTTTAATAGCAAAATGAGAGAACATACAAGACTAGACTGTGGTAGAAACATCAAAGGACAGAAGACATCGGTGGGGTGACTACTTCTGTATTGATGATGTGCTGTGTTATTAATGACTCAATGGTTTCGTGACTGGGAAAGAGGCAGAAGTGGATATGGAGAATGTGAAGGTCCCCATCTGGCCTGATGATTCACTGTGCACTTCCTACTATATTGCACAGCATTCTCTGACTTGCAGCTCATGCTGTAATTAGGTCCTAAAGAGCGTCATTAAGACACCAGGTCCATTCAAATCAATGGTTAGAATGACATTCACAGACAGTGAGTGAGTTGCAGTTCTTAGCAGAAGGTTAGGTGGCCTGGATGTCTTAGAAGAAACCAGTTAATTCGACCTTTAGACCTGTGGCGTGTTTTCCTATAGACACTTTGAACGCCAAAAATAGCATAAATTACATCACTTGCAATTATCATCCACCTGTTACCAATGACAAGAGAGGGAAGCAGATTTTTAAAAATAACATTTAACTGACTCTGATTGTCTCAATAGAATTTATGTTGCGCCTAGTGATAAAACAGGAGTACATGCATTCTTCCTTTATTTTAACAAATAATATTTATTGAGCAATTACTCCATGCCCAAGGCACTCTGAGTTATAGAGAAGATGACATATGCCTTCAGGGAGCTTGACATTTTTAACATATGAAGAATTAAACAGTATATAAAAAAAACCAAAACAGTTGCAATCGAGTCTAACTGATTGATAGCAGCTGGCAAATTGAAACAATAGATGAAAGTACATTAATGTTGAGAAAAGGGGGAGAGGCCCTTGGGCTTTCAAAATTTAGGAATCAATCGTAATTGTGATCATCATCATGATCGTCATGACTGCTGCCAACTTCCACTATTTCTTTAGAATCTAACAAAGGCCAAGGACTGTGAAATATGCTCTTGAGGAGTTCATTTAGTCTTCAGCCTTATCCCCTGTGGTCCTAACTAAAAAACCCTAACTCTTTGCCATTGAGTGGGTGACTCATAGTTGACCCTCTGTTGGGTTTCCAAGGCTGTAAACTGCATAGAAAGAGAGAGCCTGTCTTTTTCCTAAAGAGCCACAGGTGGACAACTAGGCCTTTGGATTGGCAGTCCCACTCCCTATGGAACACACTAGCAGAATTTTCAAGTAATTTTCCCCAAGATTAACCAAATAGGAAGAAGGAGAGAGATTAAGTATGAGCTCTTACATATTCTTGAATTTGAGTGGCATCTTTGTGCTTGGGCCATGCTAATCTTCTCTGTATCTTTCCAGTTTTAGTACGTATCCTGCCGAAGCGAGCATGTGCTCTCACATATTCTCATGTATCCAAAACTATCACTCCTGTCCATCAACAAATTCTCATTTCTATTTTTTAATACATCCTAGATCTTTCCACATTTCTATCATCCACTGCTGACGTCTGCCTGTACTACTGCGATCCCTTACTTGGTCTAGCTCAGGCTCTTAACAACTAGACTTCTTATTTCCATTTGTGACTGTTAAAATCTATTCTTCCCACAGTCTCCTGAATGAACTTTTTTTCCCCTGGACTGTCATTTTTTTTAAATTTTATTTTTATTCATTTCAGTGAAAGTTTACAGAGACTTAGGGTTTCCAGTCATCCATTGTTTCATTTTTCTCCCCAACCACCCCCTCTTCCCCAATTCACTCTTCTCCTTGAAAAGAAAAAGGAGAACTCTTTCATTGTTATGCAGGCCACTCCTCCCCAAGTCCACTCCATTATGCAGCCTTTCCTCTGGACTTCTGTAATGACAAGAATACCCATTCATATGTCCCTTTTAAACTGTTCTCTCATCTGTTTCAATGAAATATATATCATTCCTCTCCTTCTTTTCTGTCTTCCCTCAATGCTGATGTCAGTCTTGTTTTACAACAGTGGCCCTGTGCAATATTTGTCCTTTTGTGACTGAGACATTTCACTCAGCATAATATCCTCCAGAGTCATCCATTTTGCATAATATTTCATGAGTTCCTTGCTGCATAATATTCCATTGTATGAATATATCAGAGCTTCTCTATCCATTTGTTTATTGATGGACACTTCGGTTGTTTCCAACTCTTTTCTATTGCGAACAAAGCCGCAATAACATCCAAAAACTTTTCCAACAGGGTACAAAGGGAAGCCACAGATTGGGAAAAAATATTTGTCAGACAAGGGACTTAAATCTAGAATTTATAAAATACTCGAGCATCACAACAAGATAAAGATAAATAACCCAATTAAAAAATGGGCACAGGATATGAACAGACACTTCACCAAAGAAGACATTCAGATGGCCAACAAACATATGAAAAAAATGTTCAAAATCCCTAGCTCCAAGAGAGATGCAGATCAAAACAACTGAATAAACTTTTAAAGACAAATAGCTCATTTCTTGACGTTCTGCAAAGGCTTCCCATCACTCTTAAGCATCCTTACTGAGGCCTGCCATGTCCTGTGTTGTCTGAACCCTGCCTACCTTTTTGTCTTCACCTCCTGATTCTCCCTCTCATTTATCTCAGTCCAACCACACCAACTTGTTGCTGTTTTCCTCCCACATCGACAATACTTGCACCTCTAAATTTTTGCAGAAGACTATAATGATTAACTTCCAGACAGCCATGTGGCTCATATTCTCATTTTTTATCTTCTCTCTGTACCAATGAAATCCATTTACAAAGATCTTTTCCTATGTATGTGGGAATTTGAAGTAACCTGTATGTTCTTCAAAAGGGAAATGAGTTAGTGAAGCCTGGTAAAGCATGGTAGATAAAGCTTATAAAATGCTAAGAATCAAGAATAAATAAGTGAACTAGTAGTACAAACAGCAGAAAATTAAGATGTTGTGAGAAGAGCAGGAAATAGCTATAGTAAAATTGTCAAACTATAATGCAAGTTAAAATCACAATACTACACATTATGAATTCAATGAAGATATACACTTGCTTAAGGACATCCATCTATGTAGTTGGGAGGGGAAGAGGTAGGAGTATGACCAAAAAAGAAAGATCTAAAAAAAAAAAAAAAAGAAAGAAAGACCTTCCCTGAAAAGTCTGCCCTACTCAACTAAAACTGTGCTGCCAACCTGAAGGCATGTGGTTCAAATCCACCAGCTGCTCTGTGAGAGAAAAAATTTGATAATCTCCTCCATGTGTTTTGCTACCTCTGAAAAAATCAGCTATGGATCAGTTTCAACTTGACAACATGTAACAGCAGCATTCAAATATTCCTATCCCTCATTACCCCCATACCATTATTTACTATGTGGCATATTTTAGTATATCTATTTGTTGATGTGCTCTTTGCTTTGTCGCCCCAAGTATACATTGCACTGGTCCAGGGACTCATGTTTACTTCACAACTGTACTTTCTACGTGTGTGTATGTGTATGTGTATGTGTATGTCTACACCAGTATTTGGCCCTTGATAAATACTTATCAACTAGGTGGTTTTATCTTCCCAACAATCTTAAGGAAGTCAGGAAGAAGATTTCCTTTTCAAAGATGAGTAAGACAGGTATAACTTACTTGCACCAAATAAAGATGTTAGCAGTTGGTTGACCGAGGTTTGTTATAAAGAGTTCTGATTCCAGGCTAGTGGTATTTCCATACTACTACAGCAATCCCTCTGAAATACACCACATAAAAATATCTCAGATATTAAATAGCACATACAGCTAAACACATTTTACAAAAATAACATTGAAGAAAGAAGCTACTTTCCCCAAGAATTTAACTGAGGTTGAAACATCATATAAAATATTGTACAAAAAGGTAATACTTGCAAACAGTGGTTCTTCTGTGAAGGTGGCTGAGAAAGTCATTACTCATCTAAGAGGTGGGCAGATACCTTTTCTAGGCATTTGATCACTGACATTCTAAAATCGTTGCTATTTTTATCTTTTTCCATGTATGTAAATCACCAGTTTCATGATTTGTGCTATTTTATGGAGCACACTTTGAAATAATGAGATTGTTCTCCCCCACTTCCAATCTATTGTGCTTGAGATAATGTTGTTGAAGAAGAGGCTACAAACTCAGGCCATATATATCATTAAGCACAGACATATTTCACCCGCTCGAAGGGTTAGAATTTTTTGAGGCATCATCCTTCTGCTTTCTCTTTCTTTCTTATCAGCTATGTATTTTGTGAGCTTTCCACAGGCTTGTCTAATGAGCCTGACACTCTCCCGAATGGCCCCTCCGAATGCCACAGATGACCCAGGAATAATAAGGCAGCCGAGGAGTTGATTGACAGCCAGAACCTGAACCTGCTGGAACATTTCTTCCAACTCAACACTCTCAACTTTCCACTTAATAATTCCCAACGATCTGTCTCTAGCCAGATGCTTATTTCTGATTTGGCGTATAAATAGTCACAGGGTGCTGATGTGCGATTCCTCCCTTATGGCTGACAGGTCACTGTTGACATTGGAGACGAGAATGATGAAGCACCCAGCTGTAGCCCTCTACTGTATAAGGCAGTGATTCCTGACAATATTGCTGCTGGGACCAACATCAATGGCTTCAAACTAAACTGCCATGACAGAGATTCACAAGATTTTGAAATGCGCTTCGAGATTGTTTCTGGTGAATACGTTTTCTATTCTTTTTGATCATGAATGGGTGTCAAATGGACATTAATTACCTTAAGATACGCTTTTGCCTTAGAAATGACGGTGTCTGTAAAGGTCAAGCCATTTCATGCCAAAATTGTTTCCTCAACGTACCCCTTTCACTTCTCCAAATCCAAGCAAATATTTTTCCTTTAGTGGAGGGTGTTTTGACAATAAAGAAAGTTTAGACCTGCATAGGAAATGCTGAGGGTTAAGTTATAAGGAACTGTGGCTATTGCTCAGAATGCTGGTTGAAAATAGCAGCTCTTGTTCCACCTAATGGAAGCCCCTGGGTGGCAAAAAACAGTGGCACCTTGAAAGAGAAGCTTGGCCATCTACTCATGAAGAATCAGCCTTTGGAACCTCTAAGGAGCTCAGTTTTCTGCTGAACCATGTGTAGTCACTATACGTTGGAACTGACCCCATGGCAACTGGTGAGATTTCCTTCTGATGATGCTAACACAGATTCACTCAGTCATGATGGGCTTTTTTGTGTGTGTTAATATAATTTGATAATCATATTTTTGGATAAAAGAGTTCTGGTGACATTGTGCTTTACACTGCTAACTAAAACTTCAGTGGCTCAAATCCCCTAACTACTCCATAAGAGAAAGATGGGCATTCTCCTTTCCTAAATATTTACAGTCCTGAAAACCCAACGGAGGGTCACCAGGGGTTAAAATTGACTTGATAGCAGTGAGTGGCTGTTGTTGGATTTACTGAAACCCACTTTAACTATGCACAGAATCCTACGACTGAGGGGAATACTTTTTGTAGACTAAATTAGATACTATGCTGTCACCATCACTGCCCAATGCCATTGTGTCAAACTCCAACTCAGACTCATAGCAACCCTACAGGGCTGTCAAACTGCTCATAGTGTGTGTGCAGTTATAGATCTTTACAGCAACACATTGCTCCACCACTGCAGAGTGGCTGGTGGATTCAAACAGCTACCTTTGAGGTTAGCAGACAGGTATCTCAGCCCATGTGCCACCAGTGTGCCTAGATACGGTGCTAGATAATGGACATTCAATTGTACAAGAAGGACGGAATCTTATTACTATGAAGTGCATTGTCCACTAACCTATAGTAATAGAAATGATTTAAACATGGCAAACTGATAAGTTGTATAAAGAAAAACTACCGAATACCAGGAGATAATATAATAAAGAGACCTTTAAAGAGTGAAGACTGGGTCTACACTCATGTAGCTGAGAGCATAACCGCAAAAATAATAACCAAATCAACAGCTGATCCTGAGCTGATCTGGACACATGATGATCCCTTTGCGTGAAGAGTAGAACTGAACTCCGTAGCCTTTTCAAGGACTTCATCTTTGAAAATAAATCACCAGATTTGTCTTCCAAAGCACCTCTGGGGGTAGTGGCTTGGTCACCAGCCTTTCTGTTTGTCATCTAGCACTGATTTGTACCATCCAGGAACTAAGTCTGAGAGAATAGGAGCATGGAGATCAGTTAACTCAGAGATTAGTCAACTACTTGTCTAGTGCATTATCTTATTTTGTTTTATTATTATTATTAATTTTAATGAAAATTTAAAGAGACTTTAGATTTCCATTCATTCATTGTTGCACTTTTCTCCCTGCCCACCCCTCCCCCCCAGAACACTCTTCTCTTTGAAAATTAAAAGAAAAATTCTTTCATTATTTTACAATCCCTCCCCCCAGGCCCACTCCACCATGCAGCCTTTGTTCTGGACTCCTGTCATGACAAAAAATACCTAATCACATATCCCTTTTAAACAGTTTTCTCCCTCATCTGTTTCAATGCAGTATACATTATTTATCCCCTCTTTCTCAATCTCCCCCCAATCCCGATGTCAATCCTGTTTTACAACAGTGGCACTATGCAGTATTTGTCCTTTCGTGACTGAGATATTTCACTCAGCATAATGTCCTCCAGGGTCACCCATTTTGAATACTATTACATTAGTTCCTTGTTTTTCAATGCAGCATTGTATTCCATTGTGTGAATATACCACAGCTTCTCTATCCATTCGTTTGTTGATGAGCACTTTCCAACTCCTTGCTATTTGTGAACAAAGCCTTGATAAACATGGGTGTGCATATATCTGCTTGGATGGCGGTTATGGTCTTTTTAGAGTATATTCCCAGTAGTGGAATTGCTGGGTCAAATGATATCTCTATTTGCAACTTTTTGTGAAAAATGCCACACCACTTTCCACAGTGGTTGCATCTATCTTATTTTCTTGTTGGATGATGAGTGAGCAAGAGTAGAGACAATGTATAGCTTGTTTACAACAATGTCTCCAGAGCCTTCCCTGTTAGGAGGGATTGACAGATGTTTGTTATTGGACTGACTCATTAGATGTTGACCTGAAATAAGAAGGAGGTGAGAACCAGATTGCTCTGTGTAGGAGTTAGATAAAGAGGGAACTACTATGGTTGATGGCACCCAACAATAATAACAGCAACAAGAAAAAGTAGACATAATAACGTCATAAAAGACTGAAGCTTACTGATAGTTATATAGATACCAGGCCTAGAATCTTAATCTGAACTAGTTTTTTACTTAACAACTGAATACATTGCTTACTTGATCTACCTTTTATTATAAGACATGCATGTTGTTGTGGTTAAGTACCATCAAGTCGCTTGCGTAGCTATTAGAATTCAGAGTTCAGTCGAAATTTTATTTATTTCATGGCCCACTGTGTATCAGTAATGATTAGAAATGGTTAAAGAAAACATTCAAGTATATCTTATTTTAATTCCTATTTGTTTTTTAAAAAATTATCCCTTTTAAAGGTAATGACAATCATCATTTTGGATTCGACCCTTCTCAAGGCTCAAATACTCCAAAGTTAATTGTGAAGTATCCTTTCGACTTTGATGCTGGAATCGAGCTGCAGCGGCAGTTTCATCTTGTGGTGCACGTAATCGATGACAACTTGAAATATGGCAGAACCACCACAGCCAGGACAGGCACAGTTGTTATAGATATTTATGTGACGAGGGCCAACACCCCGCCGCCTCCAACCACCAGTTCTGAAGTAAAGAGTTATGGGATTTAATTTGGGTTGGTGTGTGACAGATATTCTACCATAAACTTAAGTTTAATGTTGTTATTATTATGTGCTGTTGAGTCGCCTACAGCTCACAATGATCCTGCGTACAACAGCCCTAAACCCTGTTCTATCCTGTGCCAATCTTGCTGTCTCCAACACACCTATGCCCATTATTCCAGTCCCTGATTCAATCCATGTCATCGAGGGTCTTCCTTTATTGTGCTGTCCCTCCAAACTCCCAAGAATGTCATCCATCTCCAAGGACTGGTCCCTCCTTGCAACATGTCTAAAGTATGTCAGACAGAGCTTCCGAATTCTTGCCTCTAAGGAGCAGCCCGATTTCACCCTCTTTAGGACAAACCTGTTTGTTCTCTTAGTAGTACATAGTACATTCAATACTCTTCTCCAGCACCATAGCTCAAAGGCATCAATTCCCCTTCTACCATCCCTAGTCATTGTCCAGCTCTCTGATGCATAGCAAGTGATTGCAAACAGAAAGACTAAAACATTACTCTGGGTGATACCTTTAACTACATCTCTTTTCACTTGAGCACTACCCATTATTTACTATGCAACATTTTTATTATTAATAATATTATTATCTAGTACTCTGGTAGCCTAGACGTAAGAAACTACATTGCAATCTTGAAGGGATGCAGTTTGAGAAGGATGGGCAGTCTCCTATCATGTGATTAACAGGCTCTGAAAACCAGTTGGAGGGCCAGCTATGGGTTGGTTCCAACCTGATGGAATAGCAGTAGCCATGCCAGGAAGGATGGCCATCTTTCTCCTGTGGAGAGACTGGTAGATTCAAACTGCCCATCCTGATCTGTTGCCCATTGTGCCACCAGGGCTCCTCACTACAGTAGATTGCTTTTATTCATCACCTTGGCTAGTTCAACTCTCCAAAGTTTAGCAGATGCTTTAGTATTTTATTATTTTGAAAACAAATATGCCAAACTTCTGTAGAATTCTATAATAGCTGCCGAGTCTGTTCAGTAGATTTGATGATTAGCGTATTCTACCCTTTGAAATAGGAGATGAATGGGGAATCATTCTACCAGAATATTTAATGCTCATGACCACATTATTCCCTCAGGCTCCACCAAAGGGTTTATTGTGTGACGAGTTGGATCAGAGGCATGCATGTCTCAAAGGGCCTCAGATTCCATCCACTTCAACCCTTGACTTTAAAGACTAATAAACTCAGGGGAGAGAAGAAGAATTTGTGCAAGATCACAGAGCAGCCAATGCATACAATTCAAGCCTTCAGATCCCTAGATTGGTGCCTTCCTCCTTGTGTTAGGGGAATCCTCAACATCATTTGTGTGCTTAAAAAAACAGTCTGAGTAAATAATCCTTGTGTCTGTGGAGCTGCTGTTCTCCATACTCCATGCTACTATATGTAAATATAATTTTTCTGAAAACATGAACTAATTTTATTTGTTTTAAACATGATGATTTACAGCAAAGGAAAGGCCTGACCATTGTGCATACAGCTATCAACACGTACAAATCCAGTGACTGGTACATTCCTTTCCTCTTGACTTTGATGGCTGTGTTGTTTGCTGTGCTGGCTGCCTGGGTGTGCTTCCTGCTTTGGAGATACGGCAACATTAAGGAATGCTGTCAGAAAATGGCCAAAGAAGTGTCCAAGCCCAAACCAAAGTATGTGATTGAACTCTTCAGGCTATTGATATGAAGAGTGGAGACCAACTGGTGACTTGGTGGTTTTATTCTGAGGGCCTCTGCCTTACTTTGCTTGTGAGGAAAACAGAGGACAGTATTTGAGATATACAACTTAAGGCATTTTTCAACATTGGTCTCAAACCTGGTATCTCTCAGAAACATTTGAGAAACTTTCTTTAAATATCAACATGAATATACTTTTGGACCCTACAGCAAACTTTGGAACAGCTCACGGTGTCAGCCAGAAGCTCCAGTGGCCTAGTGATAAAGAATTGCTCTGCCATCTTGAAGGTGGACAGTTTCAATCCACCCCCTGCTCTGAGTGAGATAGCTAGGCAATCTCCTCTGGTGCAATTGACACTCCTGAAAACCTGCTGGAGGGTCTGCTGTGGGTCAGTTCTGACTCAGCAGCACACAACAATAACAACAACAATAATTTACAATAAGTAGATTATCTTTTAAGAATATGTTTCAGACAAATACATTTATGAGGCTATCAAGCAAACTATTGCTTATTTTGATGCAAGTCATTCCACAGAGAGGTGTTTGATGACTCCTTTGAACTAGCTTAGGGACAGATGATAAACACAGATAACCTCTCATTTCTGAATCTGTGTGAAGCTGGGCCAATGAAACGGATAGAAAGTACTGTTGTTTTCATCACCATCCAGAAAGTATTCTTCAGAGTTAAGGCCATCTTGAGTTCAGAAATAGAGCTGAGTATGAATTTTCATTAACTAAATAGAGTTTATTTAGTGCACAGAGAATGAGATGATAGTTAATGAAGTTAATTCCTCATAGGATTATTTCTTTTCCCCTGTGGTGAGGAAGAAGTAATGACAGTCATATATTACCCAAAACCTGAAATTTTTCTTTTTATTTGTCATGTGGTAGCATAATGAAGCTGATATTTTGTCAAATTTTCTTTTCCTGCAGAGGAATGAAGTACATTGCAGGTAAGATACAGATTGCTAATTGCCACTTGATTATGCTTAAATTGTGTGATTTGTTTGAAATAACTCATCAGATACTTGAGCTTTTTATTTTCTTTCTTTTTATAAATAGAAGATATAAATCAAAAGGAAAAGCTTGTCACCGGAAACAGAAATAAAAAACTAGAAGTATTAACAGTAAGTAGAGTTTCATGGTCTGCCTCCTGTATTTTTCCTTATAATTGTTCAATGAAAAATTGCTCCCTATGGCAACATAGGAAGGAACTAAGATAATGTCAATTTGTTTGTATCTGTTGAATCTCCATGGATTGCAAAACAGGAACTTTAGGTCAAACCTTAGAAAAGAATTTAGCTCGCCTCAAAATTGACTCAAATACTATGTGTACCCTCAGCAATAGCATCTACACAACTCTAGACAAGGGGAGTAAAAACCTATAGATAGATAATGTTGCTATTGCTCTGTGCCATTGAGTCAGAGACTACTCATAGCTGACCCTCGAGTGGGTTTTCAGAGCCTGTAACTCACACAGTAGGAGATTGTCCATCTTTCTCCAGCAGGGCAGCTAGTGGGTTTGAACTGTGTTCCTTTGGGTTAGCCACACAGTTCCTTACCGCTAGAATCAGATAGATAATTACCATCCAGTTGACCATGACTCATAGCGACCCTATGAAAAAAAGGCCTGAGGCCTTTCTATAACTCCTGACATTTATGAAAGTTCATAGAGTTTCTAGAGTCACATTGTTTAGGAAGTGGATGCCACTCCATAATAGTCACACACTAAGATATGTGAAGGGAAAGGCAATGTACAATCAGATGGCTGAAGGGTGAGGCAATGAACAGTAAGGGGATGGTCAGCACAATGCCGCTAAAGAAAGAAGATGAACCAAGATGATGTGTCAGTTTTTCTGGAAATAAAAATAATAAAGGCTGGATATGAGAAGTATGTAAGAAATACAGCCAATAGTGGAGGTAGATGAACAGATACTAATAAAAATTAGAATTACAAGGAGGAAATAAGACAAATGCAATTACATTGTGGGTAGTGTAATTAATGTAACAAAGTACATGTGAAAACACCAGTTTTCTTTATAAACTTTTACTCAAATAATGATAAAAAATAGATGAAAGAGAAAACCAATTCTAGACAAAGGGAAATCCCCAGTTACCCACTATTAATGAAAAAGAAAAGCAACTATGAAAACACATCCAGTTGTGATAATTCCCAACAATGTCTTTTATGCAGATTCAGACTACTTTATCTTTTTTGGATTTTTTAAAAAGAATTTTTTAAAAAATTATTTAAAATAAAATTTTTATCTTATGCTGGTTTACTTACAAAGATCCTATACATTGTTTTTCACAGTGGCTCTTTCACATTTTCTTTACTCACCTCTCCCTCTACCCATAAAGTTGTATGACCCTCTGATTATTCCCCTGCCCATCCTTGCCCCTCTGCTCCTCCCCTCCCCTCCCTGGATCCTCATATATGTTTTACTACTTATCTTTGGATTTCTACAATAATGATCTTAGACAATATTTGAACAAGGTCTTGAACCCTAAAGTTTCTTAGAGGATGGCGAAATTCACACCTGGATTTGGCTACGATTCATTTATTATCTATATAAAAAATTGTGCACGGGTAAAGCTAGTTCGAGGGAATACCAATGTGAAGTAGTATAAGGGACATTTTATCTTCATCCTGCTGCTGCCCTCTGCAGATACCAACATCCTTTCCTGTCCAGGTCCTGGCAGCCCAGGACATTACCGCATGAGCTCGCTCTCTTCACTTTTCCTTACCCCACTCCCTACTTAACTGCCATTTACCTTTTTTAACTAAGACTCTTGATTCCAGTGAAACCTATCCATAGCAAGGGGCTCAAATGTGACAGATAAGGAGTCTCACATCAGTTAGAAATATCTACTTTAATAGAAGGTCTTGCCAGAACACTGATGTGTGAGATAGGATTGGGAGCAAACAAGATGACCAGGAACCTTTTTAGATCCCACAATGCTAACCCTCTGTAGGTTAGAACAAAACAAAAACAACAAATCTCCAAACTCACTGTCATCAGGTGGATTGTGACGCATCAAAAAGTCAGTCATGTTTTTTGGCACATTTGTTAAGTTTTCAAGTGGGCCTGACTCTGCCACGTATATTCCATAGGAGCTGGCAAAGGCTTGATGAGAAAGATCTCTCCCTAGCCTTCCTTGCACCAGACATTGACTCCTACAGAAAGGTTAGCTCATAAGTTTAAGACCTTACAGACAGGCCAACATGGACCTGACTGGCATGAGGAGAATCTATGCTGAGGGGTGTTTGTTGCTCCACCCCAGTGATGGCTTTGAAAAAAAAAAGTCAGTCATTACCATGAAGTTGGAGTTGACTCATAGCTGACTCTCTAGTGGGTTTTCAAAGAGGGCAAATTGCATAGGAGGAGATTGCCCCTCTTTCTCCAGTGGAGCTCGTGCATTTGAGCTGGCTGCCTTTGGGCTGAGAGTTCAACTCCTTACTCACTAGCCCACCAGAGCACCCTTCTGACCCACAGTAACCCTACAGGATGCAGTAGAACTGTCCCATATGGTTTTTGAGGCTGTAAACCTTAACGGGAGCAGACTGCTCCATTTATTTCCTACACAATGACTTGAGTTCAAACTGTGTTGTTTTTGTTGTTGATTGCCGTCAAGTCAAGCATGACTCATAGTGACCCTATGAACAAAAGCCTGAGTTCGAACTATAGAACTTTCTATTAGCAGCCTGAATTTTAACTCTTTATTCTTCCAGGGCAGCTTAATGATTAGAAAGAAGAGACAAAATCACATTTCAAAACGAATTTTATCAAGCTTATTTTATTCCTTATGTATATATATTATTTTTTTTAAGGAAACAATTGTCTATGAGACTGTGTTTGATGGAGAAGCCGTTGATCCAGGTATGGTATTTAAATATTTTTTTTATTATGTTTTTACTTATTTGCTTACTTGTATCCTAAACTGTGTGAATGAATTGTTTAAGCATTTTGCCTTGCTTAAATAATAAGAATCTGTAGTTGTTAGTTACCATTGAGTCAGAACCGACTCACCCTTCAGTTGGTATTCAGAGGCAGGTTAATTACTCAGGAGGAGATTGCCCATCTATCTCCAGGAGAGCAGCTGGTAAATTTGAACCCAGGCTAAGACAAATCTTCAAAGGTTGTTGTGATTGTTGTTTGTTATATTCCATCGAGTTGCCTGTGACTCATAGCGAATGAATGAAAAGTTCTAGGTAAAATGGTAATTTTAATTATTAGTAACTATAAAAAGAACAATGACCATGTGGGGATGGCCATGTCTGACCTTTACCAACTTTACAAAGGGAAACTGTTCCTGTCAACAGCATCAATAACACAAAACTGATTCCCATGAGGTTAGACATGTTCCACACACTCCTGTACCTCTTTGTACTCAACACCAATCTTACTGCTTTACTGGGTACAAAATCCACTGTGATAGCTCACAGACCACACAGAACCACTTTGGGGAAGTCAATATGTTATAATCCAGGATAGCAACAGAATACAGTCAGGACAGTTTCTGAAATGCACTTACAGACTTTTCAGCCTTGAAGCTCACAGCTTTGGATAAGTGCTACAAAGTTCTTAGTCCAGTAGACATTGGCTCCTCTTACCCCAGTTGTCCAATACACAAGGACAAAGGTTCTTAGGTTAGCTCTTGTTCTGTATGTGAGGGGTGACAGTTTGTTCCATCCCATGTCTGGTGTCTCTGGTCCTCTGTTTCAGCAACTATGACTGTTGCTCTGGTCCTGAAGAATGAATGACAATCTTTTGCTTCTGGGGGAGAAGATTTCTTCTTCTTCTACCACTAAATCACTTAATTTCTTAATTTAAAGGTGACACTAGCCAATTTCCTTGTGGATTCGTGACATAGCCAATCCCCTTGTGGATAGGCTAACATGCCCTACTTGCATATTCCTGACCATTCACATGACAAAGTCAAGTTCAATGGCTAGGAAAGCCATTTGGAGTAATAAACTCCACAGTAATACATAATGAGGTATTTGTAACAAATAGTTGGGGTATAAAAGGGAGTGGTAGAGACTGTGGCAAACTGCAGACACTATATATTTCTAAAGCCGTTACTCAACACTACCAAATTATTTCTGTATAGAAATAAAATTCACACACCCATGTTTATTGTGGCTCTGCTCACAATAGGAAGGAGTTGGAAACAACACAGGTGCCCATCAACAAACGAATGGCTAGAGAAGCTGTGGTATATTCACACAATGGAATACTACACTGCATTGAAAAAAACAAGGAACGCATGCAATATTATTCAAAATGGGTGAGCCTGGAGGACATTATGCTGAGTGAAATATCTCAGACTCAAAAGGACAAATATTGCATGGTGCCACTGTTGTAAAATGG